AAGAGCCCCAGGGCTCTCAGCCTGTTATCGTAGGGTCTGCTTCCCTGTCCTCTGATCATGCACATGGCTCTTCTCTGGACTCTCTCAAGCTTCTCCACATCCTTTTTGAATTGTGGAGCCCAAAACTGGACTCAGTACTCCAGCTGCGGCCTCACCAAGGCCGAGTACAAGGGGAGAATGATGTCCCGGGATTTGCTTGAGAAGCATCTATGGATGCAAGCCAGGTGGGGAGGTCAGGGTGCTCATGCCTGGCACAGGCACATCTCCAACCAGCGCTGCACAGGGGGAGGGAGTGGAGTCTGCCTTATCACCACAGCTCTGCTCCCTGAGCCTTAGACTGCAGCTCCAGCCCTGAAATGGAGCCAGCTGCTTCCCCCACTCCCTGCTATGCAGGTCCTGCACTCTGCCACAAGTGGAGGGAGCCCTGCCCCCTGCTTCCCCACAGAGTCCAGCACAAGGCTTCCTGGCTGCGAGTGCAGAGCTGCAGGCACAGCGCGGAGCTGTGATAGAGGCAGCTAGCACTGTGTTGGGGGTGAGAAGGGCAGCCCCATGGAGCCTGCCCGGTCGCTTCTACCCCCACAGCTCCACAGCGCACCTGCAGCTTCGCAGCTTTTAAACTTTTTAAATGTCTGTCCCTAGCCCCAGGGACTGGAAAAACTGATAGTGTGCTCAGGAACATAAACTCACAACCTCAGAGACCGGCACAAATTAAATAGGCATTATACACATATTTAAAAGTCCTACTGGAGAAATGGGCAACCCGTTTTACATGAGAAGTTACTAAACTAGGTATGTGCTGTGTGTGATGAAAACCATACTATGATGATTCTAATTCAGAGCCAAGAAGCACCCTGAGGAGTATAGTGTGTTAGGGGGCTCTGAAATTATGCTTCTGAGGTGATGGAGAGACTGAAACAGTTAAGAAAAGACTTTTTAAATATACCAGGCTATTCAGTTAGGCTACAGAAAGAGATCCAAAAAGCCTGAGCCTGAATTGATTCAATCTTTGCAGGTTAGTCTAACCTGGGTAGGCTGAACCAGTTTGTAACTGGAGAGATGTTCTGTCTGGACTGAGGAAATTCAGGTACATGCCTCCAATGGCTCTTGCTAGAGGCGGGGGGGTGCTAGAGCAGCCCTCCCTTCCCTTCCACTCTACTGAGCTGAGGGGGGCAGGGTGTGGCCAAGCCCTGGCAGGATGCTCTGATGAGGGAAGGGTGTAAACCCCCACCCTGCCTGCACCATCCCAGGCTTTTCCCTGCTGGTTGCTGAAAGGGCAGGAGTATTGCCAGACCCCAGCCCCAGGCTAGAACTCTGAGGCCAGGGAGGGGTGTGCAGTGCATGCATCTGTTGATGATACGGAGCTTTTCAATCTCCCTCTCCCTGCTTCTTTATACTGTCTGCAGCAAACTGACAGGCTAGCAAGCCAGCAGGGGGCTGATAACAGTGTTTATCACCTCATCAGCAAAACAATAGCCTCTCTCCATTAATTCAAACTCTTCTTAAACAGCTTACCAATTGACCTCTTGATTAGCTCCAAAAAGCCCTAAGCGTTCACTGTTCTGCCTGCCTGTCCCAGTGAAATTGGAGATACACACACAGACACCTCTCAGCATTAGCTAGCATACCACAAGCCTAGGGTCCATGGGGCTAGGGTCCGTGCTGTGGGAGATAAGGGCGGGGGTGGAATCCCTGCTTGTCCAGCAAGCAGCAATGGGGGGGACAGTAAGGCAGGGGGAAGCCAGGCAGACCTTTGTACCTGCAGTCTCTGCCGGAGCTCCAGCCAGGGAGCAGAGGGGAGGGGCCAGCTCTGTTGTGGAACACAGAGCCTCGCCTAGCCCAGAGAGCATGTTGGGATGCTTGGGGAGTCTGGTTTATCTTAAATCAGCAAGGAGTCTGGGACAGACATTGCATAAAATGGTTTGAGCCAAATCAGTTAAGTCTGATACTACATTCAACCAGGTTTATCTCAAATCAGTTTCAGCCATTTTCAAACTGGTTTATGTGTACTGAACATCTGTTCTGTTACAGATTTAAACCAGTTTCTGATCACTTAAACTGGTTTATGTGTAATCTCTGTCCCTAACCTTTGTCTGTGGACTGGACTCTAGAATTTGGTAAAAGTCAAGACAGTACACAGACATTCTGGAGATGGAAGTGTACAGGCACATGATTGTGTGTATGATTGTCCCTATAATCAGACTATGATGGCAGACACTGTGGCTACGTTCAAATGTTCAAGAAGTCCCTGGCGGAAGCACTCTATCACACTTTACTTAAAGCACTATAAGTTAATTAGGGAGCTCCAGCAGACCTCACAAGAGTGGCCCCTCTCCCAAGCCCTTCCAACTGGAGACTGTCTGCAGCAGCTGTGGGCCTCCTCCAGATTGCTGCACCTGGACATGGGTGGGGGGGGGGGGGGGGGAGAACCGGGGGGGGGGGAGAACCAGGCTGGGTCTGCACAGCAAGGGGGGTTCCTCCCCCCACCCTCAGTTCCTAGCATTGCCAAAAGCTGAGCCAGGCAGCCTTGTGCTGTAGCTGCTGGCTGGAGCTGTCAAGAAGCTGGGTCAGAAGGGATGTGTGGGAGAGGTAGCCCCATGCTGCAAGCCCCCCCCAGATTCCTGGGTCAGGACTTGGGTGAGGGACCAGGCCAGGTCTGCACAGCAGGAAGGCTCTCTTCCCCCAACCCCAGCTGTAGCATGAGGCTTTTGGCCACACCAGGAACTGGAGGTGGAGTGGGATGGGAGCCCCCACTGCCATGCAGACCTGGCTCGGCCACCCTAAGTCCCAACCCAGCAATCTGGCAGAGGGCCACATGCTACGGAGGCTCTCTCCCCCACATCCCCCTATCTCAGCCTCTTGATAGCTACAGCCAGAATCCAAACCCCTTTCCCCTGGGCTGGCAGCTGTGTACCACCAGGCCGGGAGGGCTGCGGAAGAAAGGGAGTCTCAGCTCTGTATGCCCGCAGCAGATCCAACCCCGCAGTGCGCTGCAGCCTGTCAGGTAGGGCCCCTTTCCCCCAGCTGCAGCTGTACCAGGAACTCTGATGGGAGGGTGGAAAAGAAGCCCCCTTACTGCAGGGGTGCCAGCCCTACCCCACAAAGACTCAAGCCAGGAAGCTGGGGAGGGGCGGGGGGGCACCCAGCAGAGAGACTCCTTTTCCACACACCCCTGCCAGAGTTCCCAATGCAGCACCATACTGCAGCTTCTGGCTGCAGGATGCAGAAGAAGATCCCCCGCCTGGGCTGCAGTGTGCCACAGGGTCAGGGATGCTGTGGGTAGAGAGACCCCCTCCTCTTCCCCCAGAAGCCAGGCTGCAGTTCACATCTGGCTAAAGGGAGGAAGTGGGGCTGGGATCAGAGGCTGTCACTGACTTGGGTCAATGACAGCTGAAAAGGGAGGGGGGCGGCAAGGCCGGCCCAGCCTCAGGCAGAGTAAAAAAGCTCTGCCCGAGGCTAGAGTGCAACCTTGTGCAGTGCTGCCTGGATGGCGGTGATCACACTCCAAGTTAACCCTCGATGAGATCTGGCACAGAAGTTAAATAAAGCCCTCTAACAGAAAGTATAATAACTCATCCATCAAAAGCTAATGAGTACAATCCACCATTTTTAAAGCACTCTAAAAGCTATGAAGATCTGTTCAGTTACAGCTTTAAAGTGCTTCCTGGGCAATTAACACATGGTAGCTGTAACATCTGTATCTGGCCTATAATACTAAATACAGTGTCATCATTCATTCAAAACACTAAGTACTGCAAGTATGAAGAGTACAACCCATTTACAACATCAGGATTGAGGCTGAAGGACCTATAGAATGATTAAAAAATGAAACAGCAGTTGTGGTATTTTTGAATAGGGAAAAAATCATTTTCCAGTTTAAAGGGGGGAGCAGTGGGAAAACACACCATCACAACCCAATTCATTCTCAGAGACTCCTTTTCCTTTCCTTCCTTGAGTTTCCTTGTTTCTCCAGGCCAGTGCAGCTACTCATGCAACTAAGGAATGTCATATTGTCTCACATACAACACACAGTTTTTCCAAAAAACAGTTGCTGGAAATTGGAGTGTAATATATACAAGGAAATGTGATAAAAGCAGTTCTGCCACTTAATGACCAAGAGCAAAAGTAAAGTCTACACATGATCTACAGGAAGCAGAACAATGAGAAGACTCAGCTCCTTAGCTGCTGCTACACAGTTATTTATTACAGGGAAAGATCTTTTCTTCATTTTGCCTTTCAAAAATAAGATGTGTATGTTATATGCTATCAAGTACAATAGTTACATATATGTTTGCAGGCATGAAACCAAAAATCATTACAGCATTTAGTACTTCTATCTACTCTCTCCTCTGATTTTTCCAGTCTTCACTTCTCATTTCTGTTTCACTTCCACCAAAGGTGGAGTGTGTGTGTGTGTGTGTGCGTGTAATACACACACGCGCACACACATATATATATAATATACAATATAAAACATGGGTTCAAATTTTAATTTTAATTTCCTGATGTATATCCTTAACCCTATGTTCATGGGTTATTTTTGTAACAGAAATGAGCAACCCTTATATTCAGACTAATGACTGCTTTCAAGCGCTAGTATTAATCAATGTCATCTGAAACAAATGCAGCTTCAAGTGCTAGCTGTACATCCTACCGTAAGAATACAAAAAGGTGAAATAATTACTCTTTGTTTGCTAAAATCCAGAAAAAAATTTCTTCCCTGCAATCTACTGATAATGAAGAACGGTGTTACAAAGAAGGAAAGCTACTACAAATAGCAAGTGTGCCACATCTTTGTACCTCAAAGGTAAACACAGGGAATCTTACATTTAGGATAACGGATTTCAGGCAAACTTCATCAGTATCATTACTATTATTATTGTACATTACAAATTAAATATTATTTTTATATGGTTTCAAATTACACGATAGAAACATCCAGCTAATTAATGATGACATTTTTTTGACAGTAACTGCAAACGGCAGTGTTCAGAGATACTTACCACATCTATCATCTTCTTTGGAGGTTTTTTGGTGCCTATATGAAGATAACTGCAGAGGGGAAAAGGAAAAAGGGAAATCAGACAAACACATCCACCCATTTCTGTAGTTAGTTGATAATTTAATAAAATACTTTGAAAATACCTTGATGCCCATTTCACCTGTAGGATTCAATCTACATAAGGATATAACCTACATAAGGATCAGGTGTTACTACTAAGGGCTAGGTGTTGCTCCATTAAAATCTGGCCTTTAATTCTTTAATCTCAGCACTTTATCTATGCTGAGAGGATAATACTACCTTGTCTTTGATCCTGGCTGTCTCATGCATCTAAAGCAGACTTAAACCCAAAAAACATGGCCCGTCTCTTAATATGCGTCTACATAATGCATAACACAATGGAACTTCCATCTCATTTGATGCTTCATCTAGGCACTACCAGAATATAAATAATACACACATTCTGTGTTAATATACTTGGCTGATATTGTAAGTGTAAAAGGACACTCTCAGACTACTGTTTTCATCTTCCACGTGGGCTTGATTAGGAGTACCACCTCTGAATGCTAGAAGCTGACTGGGAGAGGAACAGGGAGGAGAAAATTCTGGATATTTAGCAAATTCACCTTCCTGCTCAGCATCTACTTTCTACCCCTAGGAGAGACAGAATAGTGATCTAGAAGGAGCAATGGTCTAACCAAGGGGTCAGCAATGTATGGCTCATGGGCTACACCCATCCCACATGGATGCAGAGGGATTCAGCATTTCTGTGCTGGGGGCATCTGGATGTCAGTGAGAAGCAGCAGTGGTGGCAGCACAGCGGGGAGTACTGACTGCTGATGTGGCCAAGTGCGGCTCCAGCAACAGCAACACAGACCATCTTAGAAGTGGCCCATGCATGGAGTTAAACTCCACTAAATTTACCCCATTGCCAACCTCTGGTTTAATCCAGTAACTCATAGTTCTTAATGCTTCACAGGCACTCTGTTCAGCAGTTTACAGATCTGGACCCTGACACTATTTTTTACACTAATAAAATACCACTAAATTCAAATTTTCTAAATTCCCTTTTTTGTTTGAAGACTTCTTTTTCTCTGTCTGAGGGCTTTTTTGTTTGGTAAGGGTTTTATCCTTGTTATAACTAAATCATCTTCTCCTATGTCATGAACATTTTTGGTCTTATTTTGAAGAACCAATATAATATGCATGCAACTTACTGAAGGCTTTGCAGCAGCAATTAACTAATACTATTTCTAGAACTTGTTGACATCCATCAATAGTGAGTGGCTGTTTGGACTTGATAAGAAACTATATGCATTGATTGTTCATTAAAAAGTACTATGGACATTTCAGTTTCTTGTTCAAATTACAGGGAAAATAATCAGTGATGCTTTTGGTTATTCACCACAGGAACAACAACTAGTGAGCAACAAAGTTTTATTCAAGCACAAATATGGATGGCAATACAAAAAAAAGCAGCTCTTCTCTAAACATTTGTGCAAGCAAAAACATTTTCACGAATACATCTAAAAACAGCATAACAGAGGTATAACAAATGAGTATTATTGAACACTGCTTTGCAGCATTCAACCAGCCCCAGAAATACCCAGGAATAATCCAGTGGCTGCCTTTCCTGGTGTTCATTTTCCACATGCAACAAAAAGAAACAGACATGATCCTGGGCTGTTTAACTGCCAAGTACAACTTTCTTCACAGCAGCAGTGAAACTGGTGAGAATCTTCTTACTCTTTTGGTCTTGAGGTCAAGCAGAAGGCAGGCCAGACTAAATTAAAGAGGCATAGCATAAGTTTTCTTAAGCAGAGGGCTTACCCCATCAGAGGCTGTGAAGGCACATCCGATCTTCTTCTTGTGTCCTGTCACTATGTTCAAATTTGAATCCAAAAGCAGGCACATACAACTACTCAATCTATAGCCTTAGCACGGTCCTCACTGGTACATGGTTCATTTATACGTGGGGAGACCAGTAGGTATTCTAGTCTGAACTTTTCTTCCACATTTGCACATGGTGTTTGTTAGAGTATCCCCACAGTTGCATGTTAACTTGATTCACACTAACCCATACTCAGAGGCAATTCAAACTTCTTCATACTGGCCAAACAAACTGTAAGCCTGCAGACAGATGTTTGGCAGTTTTGATATTCATCCTAACTCCCTCCTGGGTCATCTCTGGTCATGACTGCCACATTTTTATTCATGTGGCTGTCGGTGTTTCATCCAGTCGCTGTATTGTAGAAAGGAAACTTGTGTGATTTTAGTCTACTGGGAGCCGCAACACAGCCATCATCTTATCTTCTTATCTTCAACCTGCCAGGCACCATTCTATTTCCCTTGCTACTGCTTTCCTGATGTCTGGAGAAGCAATTTGGGCAAGTAAGCAGAGACTCCTGATACTGGTTGATTTAAGGCAGCCAGTAATGAACCTGCAACTTTTTGTTCAGCAGTGTCTAACTTCTTTTTGTGAGCTAATCCTTCCCAAACTCAGCAGGTATATGCAGCCGTCGAAAAACAAAAGGCAAACACAGTAGTTCATAATACTGTTGGGTTGCTTCCCCATTAGGCGTGAATGAGCTTCTGTACTACATTGCTCCAGAATCTAACTTTGAACTTAATCTTTTCCATGCTTCCTTTATAGGACAGTGTGGACTCACATCACCCTTACACAGCCAGGATCCAGGCAGTAGGCAAGACCTACTCCATTCCAGGCTAGCTTGAGCTGCTCTGCTTCCAAAAGCTTATACTGGAGAGGGACAACCTTGTGGGCAGACCTGCTGCAACTCAGCCTCGCATCCTGCACCCTCCTCTCCCCCCAGGGCCATACCTGTCCCTTTTCCCTGCCTGACCTCCTGCTCTGCTTCCTGCTCAGCAGCATACTCAAAGGAGGTGCAGTGGCATGGCTGTTTCCTCCTTTCCAAACATGCCAGAGACTGAGGACTCAGAAGGTAAGCAACACCCCCTGCCTACCAGGCTTTGATCGAGGCATGTACCCTCTCTTCTTATTCCCCGCTCTCCTACTGGTGGGTGGGACAGCAGGGCAGCACAGCAGGGAAGAGGAGCTCCTGCCTGCTGAAGCTGGGCTGCAAAGGGACTATGTTCAGCCCAGCACTGTGGCAGCAGGCAGGCATGTACGTTTCCACTCCCTGCTTACTCCCCACAGGTGTTTCCTGCTAATCTGGAAGCAAGCATGGAGAGGGTGAACTTGCCTCCTGTCCACTGCCACCACCATTTTCCTGCCCCTGTTCTGCTCATGTCCCCATGTAGTTTCACTGGGCAGTGTCCACTGGCTCCTTGGATTTGTTTGAGGGCCAGTGGGCACTGGCCAGTGAGGTCTGCTCCTGTCCCCCCTTGGGGCACTCATTTTGAACCTTTTACGTTCACTCCCATCCCTGTTTTGTCTTATTTGTCCCAAGTGATCAGTGATATGCCCTTAGTGGCCCCCTCATCACCAGGGGCTGAGAGCTCTACATGGTGGCCTACCTTTGGGAATAGCACATCAAAAGGCCTGTCCATTGCAGGGTCATTTTCCTGCCCCTGGTCCACTCATGTCTTTGGGTAGAGTTTCACTGGTCGGCGTCCATCAGCTCCTTGGACTCATTCAAGGGCCAGCAAGCACTGGCCAGCATGCTGCTCGCTGCGCCCCCTTGGAGCGCTCGTTTGGACCCTTTCACCATCACTCCTGCCCATGCTTTCTTTGACCCCGGATTCAGCTGGCGCCTGCCCAACAGCCCCTGCTAATAATGGGGCAGGGGCTCAGCACCACTCAGCAGGCAATAAGCTTATGTTGTTGAGGGGGGGGGAATTTTTTTGTATTCCAAGTTGAATTAGCCAAATCAGTTCTAAGTCCTCTTGACTGAGCAAAACTCAATCGTTCAAACACCAGATGTGCTGCTATAACCAGCAAATATCCTCCTCCCCAGGCTTTTCAGGCAGATGCCCGCAATGGATTTGGAAGTATCCTATGTGCAGGCCCAAGCCCAGAGGCTTGGGGGTCAGATGCCCCCCTGACTCACTTGCCCTTAGCCAACGGCCACAGGAGCAAGCTAGGGAGCAGTCCCCCATTTCCATAAAGCAGGCATGTAGCGCGAGATCCTCCCACTGGACACTGGCCACTGGGAGGCTAATTATAAGACTCCTAGGGTGGCAGTGCATTACCATAAGCATCAGTCATGGAGAAGTGGGGCTGGAAGGGGCCTCCACAGCCCCACACCCGAGGCAGCGTGGCCCCTACCCAGAGCAGACAGGCCTGGGGACTGCACCACCCCCACACAGCCCAGGGCGAGTGGGAAGGAGCTCATCTCCCCCCAGGACAGCACCTGGCAGGCAGGAAGGGAGAGATGGAAGGGCAAGGGCAAGGACAAGGGCGGGGTGGAAGTAGGGTTGCCAACTCTGCTTGAATCTGTTCCTGGAGATTTCAGCACGCCACATACCGATGTTAATTACGGTGCATAGAATTTCGGTCAGGAAGGCAAATGCACCTTCCTATTAGTTTAAAATCCCACTGGACTATGGCATGCAGCAGCCTCAACACTGAATACCGATTTGAATGGAGACCCTCTCCCGGCCGGGTGCCTGGCAGAAACCTCCCGGAGGACGCCAAACCCGGCCGGGCCGGGAGTGGGGGAGGGAAGAGGAGGGGGGAGGCTGCAGCCCCGCACTCACTCGAGCTTCTTGAAGCGCTCGGGGCCGGCGGCCACGTAGCAGGCGCCGGGCTGCAGCTCGTCGAGGCGGTGCACGGGGCGG